AGAGACTAGCAATGCGGGATCCTATTATAGTGATGCCGGCATCTTAGATAAGGGAGATGTTGGTTAAGAGGTCGATGAAGAGATGAGATTCCAAGGGCAGGATGCTGATAGGGGCCCCTATCGCATGAACCGCTAGCCACTAATTCTGGTAGAGTAAGCTGTGCATCAGATCGCCGTCAACAGCCAGGCCAACAGTTAGATCAACCGGCAGGGGGAGCGTCAAATAAGAGCACGAAGGCGGAAAGGGAAGGCCGGTTAGCGGCCTAGCGCTGTGACGCTGCGACGCTGCGGGGCCCGGAAGCGGCGGCGCAGCAAGCTAACAGGGGAGCCAGCTGGGAGGGAAGCGAGAGAAGAGGATGGAGTAGAAGACAGAAAGGAAGAGACGGCGAGGGAGATCAAGGAGCAACGGGCTCTTTATACCCGGGCCAAGCGGCGAGAGGGCGCGTTGCCCGATCGGGCGGGCTTAAACCGGAAGAGGCAGCGCACCGGCACCTAGACTACATATGTAATCATCCTCTTTTCATCATTGATGCTGTGTACTGTACCACACTGCACTTCAGAAACCCAGCCGTGCATCCTGATGTCCAGATCGGAATCGGAGTCCTGACTCACTTAGGGTTTGTGCGTTCTTTCAGTAACCAGGTCCCCTTGCGAACGATATGCTAACTTCTGGGGGGTTCAGAGGCTCTGTTCGTACGTCTTCTGTTTCTCGTCTCGCTAGAACCGAACTTTCCTTAGCCTAGTAGTGTGCTGTTTGCTTTCAGGGGGTGAGAGTTCATTCTAGTCTGAGATTATGGAGGAGACGTGATTATGTTATAGTTATTCGTGCCTCCAAATTCATGTCTTGCCTTTTCTTTGCATGGCTATAAGAGATACAATTTCTACCCCGTGGTTGAGAGGCGGACACGGCTGGAGTACAGAGGCATGGGGACAAGTAGGGGCCTCGGACTGGCGTATATGATACAGGGGAGCTCCTGCTTGCTGTTTTAATGGTGAAAAACAGATTTACAAATTCTTCTTCTGAGTCTCCTTCTCATTGGTATGATGCCAATGAGACGGAAAAGCTGGGTAGTGCTGAGCTGGGCTCACGTCCTGCCACCTTGCAGTCTGCATCCAGATCCACCCTCGCTACATACGACTTTCCATCTTGTCTCACACGCTCCATCCACGTCGGTCTTTTCACACATTTCCCAAGGAGCTTAGGTCGCCTTCCCATTGCACTGACGCCGGAATCTTTATCGCCTAGAGCTGTTTCGGTAATAAAGTAATACACGGTACCGTCCCTCGACGGCACAGCAGATACTGCTGTTTCTGTATAGGCGGTCCAGGACGCTACTGGCCGCAGATCGAATCCTAGATTTGCGGGTAAAAGAGGCGTATCCTTTGGCGAGCGAGGATGTTTGGGGTGGTATCGTGACATGGCTCTTCAGTCTGACAAGAGGGTCGGAGGGGAAGTCCGTTGAACATCCAGAGAGGGACTCCAATCTTGGTTGCGAGGAAAGGTTATGACAGAAGACGGGTCCTGCAGATGGTAGAGGAGATTGCAGGGTGAGAAATCGACAATTTCGTGCTGTGCCATGCGGACGTGGTTGAAGGTAAGGAGCAGGCGCGGAAGACGTGGATGGGTTGTGTTCTGAGGATGTGCTGAAGGGCGGCTTCAATGACTGGCAACATGAAAGACTTTTCTGCATTGCCGAATGCGAGGTCGTTGACCAAGGAAGAAAGATTCGCTCCCAAGTCGCATCGTCCTCTAAAGGAGTGGCCATTCTTCTTCTTGCAAGTCTGACCAGTCATAATGACTCTCCAGTTCCTCCGCCTCGTGATTCCTGCCCTGTCCATGATACAGAGCAGCAAGGTCGCGAGCCGTGTATAATAGTATTTTTCGATGGGATCTACTAATTTCCCCACCCTTCAACGACCGTCCTAATGCCTGCTGATACATCCTTTCTGCCTCCCCTAGCCTGTTTTGATTGTAGTATAGTCGACCAAGATTATAGACTGCCGCATCGAAGATCTCTTGCCGTTCAGTCATCTTCTCCAATCCCGCTATGGCCTGTTGCCACATTCGTTCCGCTTCCAATACCTTACCTTGCTCCGTACAAACTATACCAAGAGAGGAGACAGTAAATAGTGTTCTTTCATGCTCAGGCCCTAGTACTCTTGTGGAGACGACCAAAACTCGGTGCAACATCGTCTCTGCATCAGCTAACCTGCCTTCGCGGTGTTAGAGGCATCCAAGGTGGTAATAGGGGGCGAGAGTTTTTGGGTGATCAGGTCCTAGCGCTTCTTCATAACCTGTCAATGCTCGTTTCAACATCTCTTCTGCATGCTCCAGTTTCCCTTGATTTGAATACACTAGACCAATATTATGGACCGTCTGCAGTGTTAACACATCATCAAGACCCAGTAATTCCTCATAACCACTCCGTGCTCGTTCGTACTGCTGTTGTGCTTCAACAAGCCTGCCCTGGTTATTGTATAGCAACCCCAGGTTTTATTGCACGTAATAAGAAGGGATCAGTGATTTGGACCCAGAGTTTCCTGCTCTTCGAGCACTAGTTGATACATTTGTTCTGAGTCACTAAGCCTGCCTTGTTCGGAGTACAAATTTCCGAGATCAATGGCACTTTCGAGAGTTGATATATGGTTCATTTCCAATTCTCTCTTCATCCTGCCAATGCTTGTACCAAAAAAAGTTCTGCTCTGAGAATGTCCCCCTGCATTTGCCAAAAAAGACCCAATGTATATAGATCCCGTAGACAGCTGTGATCGAGAGTCTCTCCATTAAGAAGTGCCGAAAAGCGATGATTCTCGACTCGGATAGCGTGCTCCACAAGCAACCGATTGTTTTCCCAGTAATCCTTCTCATCTTCATCCCACACGTTCGAAGCAATGCAATGTAATGCCACCCAAAAGTATTGTTCGTTGATACTACGATTCAGAGCCTGCAAGGCCCAGTCATGCACACAGCTGTGTAAACTGTAGTCGGTAGCTGAAACTTCGATAAGTGAGTACTCGTGCAAGAGAGCTAATGCTCGGTGGAAACGCCTCTTGTTCTCGGTCAGAGCCGACCACCAAGGCAATCCATGATCTGCTGCCAGTTGGAACAGCTCGTATCGGATATCATGAGGACCGAAATATGCCAACAGCCCCATGAACTCAGCGGCGTCGGCGTCTCAAGCTCGAACCTGGTCAAGGGATAAACTCCATGTCGAAAAGAGCGTTCTGTCTTCGTATTCGAGAAGTTCTTCGGCATTGTCGCTCAATTCTTGCTAATGAGTTTCATATGCATTGAGGTATTCATTGACGCTTTCGCTAGTCTGGCTGAGGTATAATCCAGCAGTGGCGAGTGCCAGTAGAAGTCCGTTTAGTTGCTTGACAAGCTTAATAGCATCTGGATCTAGACAGAGACGTGTTAGCGTCAAGACGCAAGACATTTAGTAGAAAAGGTCAAAGGCCCGGTCATATTCATGATGCAACAGGTTCGGGCAGGGTCTCCACCGAAATGTCTCTTCGTTCTTGCCAACAGGCCCAGTTTTATCTCATTCCAGGGAGCGACTTACCATCTTCCATATTTCGGCGAGATCGATTGCTTAGGATTTCCAAACTTTCCTGTTCGTCGCTAAGCTTATGTAATTCGATCTCTCGTGCGAATCTCAATTGGCGGGACCGAGTGGTGATCAGGATTGCTCCCTGACTCCTGAATGGAAAGTATAAGCGGATGTCGTAACCGGTCGGACTCTTTGTTGAAGGTAGCCTGGGATCATCATAGTTGTCAAAGAGTAGCAACTATTGGTCATTTCCCTGCTGTGAGAACCATTGGCGTATTTGACGAATGATCTGATCCTTATTTGCAGGTCCATTCGTACTCGAGCTTTGAGCACTACTGAAAAGGATGTCGGATAGAGAAACCAAGCTTTGCTTTATTGTGGATTCGTCTTTTGCGTTCAGCCAGAAGATGGACGAATACTTATGATGATATTGTTTTGCAAATGCAAGACTCAGCTGTGTCTTACCGAGGCCGCCCATGCTAGTAATTGCAACGACCTTCTGAGTGGACACAGTATTCTGAGGGCTAAGGTGTTCCTTTAGCTGCTCAATTTCGCTTTCTCGACCGATGAACGCCCCATCCTGAATTTGGGGTGCATTACTAATGTTGAGGCCAAATGAAAACGTCGAGGTTGTATTTGATGAAGTGATGGATGATTTCGATAGCTGTTGACTTAGTCTTTCAATTGTTTCGCAAGAATTTGTGTTTTGGGAAAAGTTTAGGACCTGAATATGCTGTAGCAGTCGATCGACACTTTTGTGTACTTTCTTATCACATGCAAGGCTTTTAAGAGCTTGCAGTCGTACTTGAAAGGTTGAAGAAGGGCCTTTCGGCAGAGCTTTGTCAAGGATCACGATCAGTGTGTGTGCCTCTTCGACGCCCCTGTCGACGACAGCCTTTAATGCATTGGCAGCTACCTCACTGAGATGTTGACCTTCAGCCTGAACTCGGATGCTATGTAGTGTATTGACAATAAGAGGAAGCTGTGCTTTGATGTCCCGGAAGCACTCTGGTATGTTATCTGTAGCTGCCACGAACTCCTCTAGCCTTTTGATGATCTTTGCACTAAAGTCCACAAACTGGACGATGGCGGCTGCAAGACCGACGAAAGCGATTGCCTCTGCCATGTCCTATCGTCCCAGAATGGAGACAACGCTGAATAAGTCTGAGGCAAGCTGCCAAGTGGATATTGGGACTGCCGAAGGTTTGATGGTGAGCGCCAGCAATCATGCGGGTGCCTACCAGTCCCATGAAACGCGGTGCAAGGTGCGGCTCTTCGGGGCGGGCCTCGTACCCCCGGACCCTTACTACGTAATTCAATTATGTAGTTATCTCGTACTAAGTGGTGAAGTAGTTTCAATGCTGAGTCAGAGTGATCCAAGCTTCCTCTTCATCAAATGTGCGCTTGTCACTTGCGCACTTGCGCTCCATAGTTCCTCCAGTTACTCAGATGGCAGACCTGCTATGTAGAGGTTGGAGACCCATTTTGAGGGTGAGGTCAGAAAGAGTTCGATGGTACACATCAGTGGCATCATTTCCTCCTGCGGTACCCACCTGGTCACATCCTCCTTCCTCTACACAGATTTCGGACGATGAGATCAACAGACTGGCTACCCGGCCCAGGAGGCCGGTAACGCTCGCAGATCTTGTGAAGTACCATCTTCATGTCTTCCGGTACATAGAGTTGATATGATCTAACAGATGTATAGGCATGGAAGGCCTCCACTATCACCGGATGCCCTGCTCTCATCCGCGAACTATACTCTCGCTTTGCTGCCCCCCAGATTAGCGCATCGAATACAGTGTCTCCGCAATCTACCATTCATAGTCGTCTCTAATCCGCACATCTCGCAAATATACAACAACTACCTCCATTCCATATCTACACTGCTTCCTTATCACAAGCGTCATATCACTACTTTACAGGAGGAAGAGCAATTCACCGAGACCATGGCAGACCTTGTTCATACTCACAACAACACGATACCAATACTTGCACGTGGCTTTCTTGAGTGTAGAAAATATATTACCCCCTCAGAGGTCACCAAGTTCCTGGAGCAGCATCTCCGTGCACGAATTGGAACCCGCCTGATCGCGGAACAGCACATTGCGCTCCACATGGCATCCCAGCCTGGCTCATACGAAGAGAAAGGCGTATCTCCGTACATAGGAGTTATTGATACTGCACTTCGTCCAGCGGAAATCATCCGTAACTGCGATGCATTTGTCTGCGAGATCTGTGAGCTCAAATATGGCGTGCGGCCATCACTTATTCTCAATGGTGAGGTGGATGCAGAGTTTGCGCATGTGCCTGTCCATCTCGAATATATTGTGACAGAGCTTTTGAAAAATGCCTACAGGGCGACAGTAGAGTCGGGTAATGAACGAAAACCGGTTGAAATCACTATTGCGGCTGCCCCCAATGCGCCCCATACAAAGCTTGAAGCTTTGAAGAACTTGCTCGTTAGCCAGGATACCTCGCATGATTTTTCTCAAGAAGGCTTGACGGAGTATTGCAATACAGAGGGTGATGCAATACCATTGAATTCTGCAGCGCAGAGTATCACAATCCGCATCCGAGATCAAGGAGGTGGGATAGCACCAGACATTTTGCCCAATATCTGGGCATTCAACTTCACCACTTTCAGCAACAACCAAACCTCCAACACCGATAACGACAATATTGATGCTCTTAATGCCATCTCTGGTAGTGGTGGAGGCAATTCGAGCAGCATCGCTGGTCTTGGCTATGGCCTGCCACTAGGTCGAGCCTATGCCGAATACTTCGGGGGAGGTATAGCTGTGGAGTCGCTCTATGGTTTTGGCACAGATGTTTACCTCAGCCTGCAGGGTGTCGGCAAGATATCTTGAGAACATTGCACAGGATTGTACCCCAGCAGTGGTCTTTGCTCCACACGCTACTAAGCAAGTTCTTTCCATACGAGTGCTTCTCACTGCAAAATGGCAGAAAGCCGTATGCACGGATGAGCCCTCCCAGCAGCTGGCTGGTGGTCTTGGCGATTACATTGAGGTAATCAGATTTGCTAAGCGAAGGCCTTCCTGTGTGAAGACAGGGCGGATCCCTCAGGCGGCTCTCTCAGCAATTCGAAGAAGATGAGAATAGGGGAGGGAAGGTGATTGCGTACATCAAGCCGAGGAAGACGGAGCTGGAGATTCGAAGTCCGATATGTGGGAGGGTGATGTCGGTGCTAGAGCTTGGTGAAGGGTAAGGGGGGGCGAGGATGTGCGGAGAGGGGCGTTCCTAGCTGCACTTGAGGTTGTGGTAGAAGTGACCTCAGAAGCAGGGAGACAAGGCGGTTCAGCTCAGCGCGACCAATTTGTAGACTCGCCCTCGCTCCAGCAGTTAGAGGTAGAACAAGAGAAGTCTTCTCTTCCCTCTCCTTCTGTTTCACGAATCGCACAGGAGCAATTTGAGAAGCCACCGTGCCTACAGATATACAGACCGAGAGACCGAGAGACCGAGAGACCTCTCTTTCTCGACCATCTTGAGCTTCGAGAAATTCATGCTCTTTGTCGAGCCAGGAATCCCGCTGATTTGGTTAAATATGTAGACACCCAGACAAGCTCCGGTTGGTCACTGTCCTGACCGAATGACTCGCATAAACCCGCTGTCACTGTCACTGCGGGGCATGCCGTCCTGTCTCTCTACCATCTACCACGTATGTAACGTTAGTATTTAGTACCGCTTCACCACCGTGCCATCAACCAAAACAAAGCAATTCAGAGTAGATCCTCCTTACCTGCCTCACACAGAACCTCTCACCCCCATCTGAAAAAAGAAAAGGCGACGCAGACCTATCTAGCAACAATGTCAACACCAGCCCCTCCGCCTCCAGCTCCACTCCCAACATCAACCCCAACCCCACCACCCACCACCTCCTCCCC